AAACCGTTCAATACTTTTTCTAATAGTAAAAACATACTGAAGATGAGAAGCACTTGTTTAGAAAAAATATGTAAATATATAAAATGTAATAGCCTGGAAATCAATCATCAGAAAATTGGAACTGATTCCATTTGTAAGAACAGAAACATAAAATAAGTTTTAAACTTATCAAACTTTTATTTTAAAATTACTGTAAACCTCAATGTAGGTTATAAAGGAAGACTTGAATGAATGGAAAAACACACCATACTTCCTGGGATGAAAAGACTCGATGCTGGGTCTTGCAGACATTTGTATACATAGAGGAAACTGTTTTCAAAGCTGAGCTGCACTTTTGGCCCCCTCAAGAGTGGCAAAAATAAAAGCCAAGCCCAGGGCCTCCAGAAGTGAGATCTCTGGTAAATTACTTCCCATTTTACGCTTACACAGTGAAAGAAGAGGGTGGAGCCATGTGTGTTATAGCCCTCTCATGAACTTGCTTTCTGCCCCCTTGTGTCCTGTTGGTGGTTCAACCTGGTATTAAGTGGTCAAACCCGGATTAAGATATGTAGACTCGTGATGTCCGCAGCTCTCTGGAAGAAACAGTTGTCCCTAGGACAAAGTGTCATTATCTAGGCCTAAAATTAATAATAATATAATTTTTATATCCAGCGTTCTGCTTATAAATTTAACCAGGTACACACACACACAGCACAAGAGCAAGAAGCAGCAAAATCAACAGACAACAGAAAAAAATCTTTAGGTATTGGAATTATCAAACGGAAAACCATCATGCTAAGTTGCAAAAATAAAAGGAGAGATCAGGACATAATGGTAGTATACTGGAAACTTTAAAAAATGACAAGGCAGATTTTAAAAATAACTAAATAGAAATTTTAGGATCAGGAAATAAATTATTTCAGTGTTACAAACATAACGTTAGACAAAGCTGAAGTGAGCATTAGTGAACTGGAAGATACAGTTCAGAAGAAGCTATACAAGAAGCAGCATGAAAGAGAAGTATGGAAAATAGTGAACAGAAGGAAAGGATAAGACTCAGAGGATATGTTAAGAAGATCTCATATTTGTTTGATTAGAGTCCCAAAAATAGAGGGAAGAAATGAAAGCCAAAGGACATATGTGAAAGGATAAAAAATAGACCAACAGAACAGAAGAAGAGAGACCAAAAACAGATCCGTGAATACTTATGACAAAAGTGGCACTGTAATGTGGAGTGGTTGATATTTTCAGTAATTGCTGCTTGGACAATTGAGTGTTTCTGTAGAAGAAAAAATTGGGCCATTATCATAAAATCAATTATATTTGGATTATAGATTTAAATGTGAAAGGCAAAACAATACAGCCTTTAGAGGATAATGTTAAAATATCTTCTTAATGGTTGGATAGAGGGATTTTTTTTAGCAAGGCATAAAGTGACTATATTATAATTAAGAACTCTTGTTAAGCAAAAAACAACATTAAGGTAGTTACAGAGTCACCAGCAAAACACTTTCATTTAGACTATGTTCAGAACCAAACAAAGCTAAATCAATGAAGAAAAGGTCAGCCCCATAGAAAGGTGGGCAAAATATTTAACACTTCATCACAGATGATACCCACGTGGTGAAAGGTACTTAACCTCATTAATAATCAGACCTTGATATTTATTCTAGTTTTGGTATAATGGCAAATTGTAAGCAATTTAAATACCAATAATAGGATCCACCAATTAAAGTTTTATATGTATTATAGGAATGCCATTTGGTCTTTACAAGTGACTTAGAGTTATGTAAGCTTAGATTAAAATGTTCACAGATTAGGTATCCCATTTCGGTAAAAAAAATACACATGAATATGTATTTGTGAAAAATACATTGCATGAAGTCTGGGAATATTTCAGAGTAGTTGTGCGTATAGATGATGGTATTTGGAATTATTTTAATCACATATCTTTTTTACTTATTTGTATTTTATAGTGTTTCTAAATGGAGCATGTACTGTGTTATTTATGTCATTGACAAAATAGGATGTACCAAAATAGGGCAGTATATTCATTTTTCTATTGCAGGAATAAATTTTTTAATTAAATTTTGATCAAATGAACCACCCCTTAGTGTTAAAAGCATGTGTTCATGCACCTAGGCATATAGTATGTACAGTAGCAATACAGAAAGAATGTGATAGTTTAATATTCTAAAGGTATGTTCAAGTGACTATCCATTTTCTTTTCACTTAAATGAGTCTTAATTTTTTCTTTTTCATTGCGGCTAATACCTGGTTGCCTTCTCCTTATTTCTTCTGCCTCTCTACTTTCCATTCTACTTTTACAATGCTTATATGACCTTAAATTTTCTTCTGTTAAAATTTTGATTGCACATCTAGAGAGTTCAGTGCTTTATAAGGTAAACTATATCATATAAAC